AACGGTGCACATACAAACCGAGAAACCCCTGGGGCCACCAGCACCCACAAGAAAGAGAGAATGCTCTAGAACATTCTCAATGGGCTGAGTTCAATTTCCTGTTTAAAAAAAAAAAAAAAGAATCAAACGATGACAATACTACCATGTATGTCTGTAGTGGTGGGCTCACCCATATACCTGCTATCTCCCTCGGGAACTTTCTCAAACATTGACGGCAGCCTAAAGCAACTGAGCTTCCAAGTAGTAACTTCCTGGACCAGCCTGATTCCACAGGTGAGCCACTGTTGATGCTGTTCCCTTCCTCCCCAGGCCCTCTCACAATGCAAGGCTGCACAGGTGTAAAGTAGGCATTTCCTCCTCAGCCGAGCGGCTTCCTCTCTAATTAGGGCTGGTTCTTCAGGTGCTGCCTTCTCCAGTTTGCACAGAAGCATGACCATCCCTCTCTGGCATCATACATCTGATGCTCTGCACTGCCCAACAATGGGTCAGAACACAGCTTCCTCCATGAGTGGAGTAAGAATAGAGATGAGTCTGCTTTTAAATTCAATGAAATATCTATCTTAAATGTCCCTGTGCTAATTACACAAGCGATGCACACTTTTATACTTTTGCGAGTATACTTTTATGATTACAAAATTACATTGCTTGAAAGCTTGCTGCTTTAGCTGTCACTCTCCTGCAAACTGCCAGCAGCGTGGTTAGTGAAATAACTTGATGCGAGGGGGTAGGGCCCGACGGAATGAACAAGGCTGAGCTACATTTTTATTCTGAAAGCAAAAGGCCTCCAATGGCTTCTCTTTCCTGTCAAATTCAGGATGTTTTGTTGCTTTTCTTGAGTTTATTTTTGTCCTGAGTTCTGTGCTTTTCTTCCATGCTCAGAATGTGAAATAGCCTTGTACATTTCTTTGGGGAGCTAAGATTTTGCAAGGTGATGCCAAGGGATGGACGCATTTCGGTGACATTTTGTCAGGCTGCTAAAGAGTAAACTTGCTTTGACTGTGGCAGGAGGTAATTATTCTTTGTTTTTTTGTTGTCGTTTCTGACGCGTGTGAAGAAAATTTGGGATTGCTACGTTAACTATTTCAAGGTACTTTTCATGCTATTTGGCAGGAAGAGAAAACATTTCTCATTGGAGGAGCTGCCAGATTTCCCTGTCTCTGTAGATGATGTGGATTCTAGCACTGTGGATATCTCTTGCTGTCTTCTAGAAATTCCGCCCCTGCTCTCTGAAGACATCCTTCGGCCTCTCATGCCTCTGGACCTTTCACCTGTAGCATGCTCAATTTTGTAGTCAGCTTTTCATCACTGCCTTTCATGTACACAGAGGAATGGAGTCTTTGGGCTCCTTGTTTTGGAGCCTCCACCTACTTGGGGATGCACATTGCTTTGGCCCTCTGACAAAGCAGCAATGCGAAGAAATGTTCAGCAAAGCAGAATCACTCATTTCATGAAGCAAAGAGAAAGAGGAAGAGAATGGGGTCCTACAATCACTTCAAGGGCGCAGCTAAGGGATCTCAAAACCTTCTAACTCGGCCCTACTTCCTAAATGTTCTGCGACCTTCCAGGGACTGGTACCATCCCTGGATACATGAATCCATAGAATACACTCATCTAAACTGTAAGGTCCTGTGATGATCACCCCATGCCTCTCAAGAGCTGCTCACTGCAAGGCAAATGTATCAATAGATGTGATTCCTGCACTCAGAACTCATAATCCAGTGGGATCTTACACAACTGGCACCTAAACAAACAACAAAAATACTTTGTATAGTTTTTTGAAATAAACATTTATTCATACAGGTGACTCTTAAAAGTAAACTCTGCAAATGATAATACTTTGTAGCTCAACTCCATGATTTAGAATTTTAGATACTTGATCAAAACATCAAAAGAATAACCTACCTATTAGATTGTAATGAACCTTTTTGAAATTATATCAAATAAATACATTTAATATATTTATTATATTAAATAATAAACATATCATGTAAGTGTAGCCTCTACTACATTCCTGAAATGTCTCCTTGGTAAAGGTAAGAACTGAGAACTTAGTTCAAGGGCTGAACTATGCCTGATGCCTTTGTGGTACCTGCCTTGAATTCTGCCTGTAGCTGTTGATCGCTTCCCCAGGAGACAGTTAACTCCATAACCAACCTAGACTGACACCTGTACATAGACCCCATGCTTTTTACCAAGGCCTGTGGAATCACTTATTGGGGACAAAAATTGTTAACCTACAATGTTCTTCACCAAAGGTTAATTTGAAAGTCATCTGAAATACAAGCATCTATCCTATTAATTAAAAGAAAAGCCCAGTGGGTAAAAATGTATGGGTTTCACTATCAAAGACACAGCGTGGTTATAACAATAATAATAGAAGATTTTTAATTCTTACTATTTCGCGCAATGTATTTCTGCTTGCATCAGCTTGATCCTTTCTCACACGACTCTGACAGGCCAACATCACTGCCCTTCACATGAGTCTTATGCCCATGTGACGGTTGTCGGCGCAGAGTCCCCCTTTCCTAGAACTCTTCCTGGAAATCTTAAGCTTGTGTTTCACAGATTTCTGATATCACCTCCGTCATGGCAGTTCTCCAAACAATGTCTAAAGTTGGTAATGCATATGGCTTAGGACTATGCTGTGACACTCACTAAATATCTGTTTAGTACGTGGCTCCCAATAATAGGCATATTTAGTTTTTGTTTATTTTTGTGAGCTTTTGTCCTTTTAACTGGTATCAACTTCTACATGACAGTGGTCATTTGGGGCTCTCTATTTAGCATCTAATCAGCCCCTAATAGTAATATAATCTTTAACATAAAACCTAATACAAAATGGGAAAATAAAACACACACGTATTTCCAGGAAATTTTTCTGTTTGAATATCACCCCATGATGCTCACAACGAGTCTTATTACTTTTAAATCTATCCAGTTATCAGTACAAAGGCAACTGCACATTTGTGAGCAGTTGTTACCCATGCAGCTCCCAGTGCGCCAGGGTGACAGGAGGGAGTGGGGTGCCCTGGAGGACACCATCTTCTAGCACGTACATCCAGAGAGAGCTGGGTGTCCTCTCACTCCTTCCCAGGCCTCTGATGCTCCCTGAGCTCTGCTTCGTGCCTGCTTCCAGGATCACCCTAGTCATTCCCAGCCCTCCTTTCTCAGTGCTGTCCTCTCCAGAACTCCATGCATCGTCAGCACCATCCCCCGTGCCCATCACATGATCCTCCCACCTTCACTTCCTATCTGGGGCCTACTTCCTTCCTAAAATCAGTGGCCTTGGCTGTGTACTACACACCAAGGCACTAATCAGCTAGCTCTCCACTTATAAATCTTAAAAAGAGAAAGAATAAGATCAGAAACCCGTGTGTTCTTGATATAGAAAGCACGCACTGCTCTTGTGCGTTAGAACTGCAGATGTCCACGATGCTCCCTGACAGTCTGGGCATGTAGTGGGCACTTAGCGAGTATTCACTAAATGAGTGAATGTGTAAATTAATAAATGTATGAATTAATAAGATTCTTTATTGCACAAAGTCTGTTGTCTAAAACTATAGGAATAGTGAAGAAAGGTGGATGGATAAGGAAAACTAGAAGCTGAATAAATGGAAAGGATACATATTCGTAGAAGGTCACCTTACCATGCAAAGGCTTTCATGGAAATACAGCCCTGTGTTGAAGAAGTTGCCATCATGCCTAACAGCATGTGTCCTGGTCCTCAGCTGCTCTGTTTGCTGCCTCTGCAAGGCACAGCCCGCCAGTCGGCTCAGCAGGGACAGCTCTAGGACATAAGAGCCTTGAGGAGCTTTGTCCTTGAGGCCTCTGATGCATTTGATCTGTATTTGAAACAGCTGAGGCAACAGAGACTCCTCCACCTGCATGAAAGGTAGAATTCTTGAATTGCACTGGAACTGGGTAAAACCACACAATTAACAACAGGCTTCTGGGAAAGGGAATAGACAATTACTTTTACTCAACCTGTAATTGTCAGGTATTAGCCATGATAACAGACAAGACACACGAAGTATAATTAAGAGGTCAAAAGGCAAACCTTCTGATGATAGGAGGGAAAGTTTACCCAGCCTTTAAACGTGGTATGTTAATGATCTGTGACATCAAAAACCATTCATTTATGATAACAAGAAAGAATTAACAGGAAACCAACACTTCTAAAAACCACACAGCATGCCCTCTCCAATATAAGGGATGGGTGAAACTAGATAGTAAGCTTCAAACTGGGAATCGAATTGGAAAGGTGACAGTCCTGACCTACAACAGTAATCAGGGATCACAATTCATTGTCGGTAAGTGCGCTGTAAAGCAGACCAGCCTAAGACCGCACTTGATTAGCATGTTGTCAGCTTGCCCCACAGGCTTCCAAAGAGAGTCCAAAAGTAAGAGGGAAGTATCATGTGGATGCGTTTTGCCCTAAAATTTACCACCAGTTGCATGTGACCGAGGCAGATGACGTCATACTCTAAGGCAGGTTTGAATGCCATTGCTCAGCCTTAACTGACAGAAAAAGGCCATGTTCATTTTTAGTCAGGGTCTAAACAATTCTATATGTTGCTGATTTCTAATGAACTACTGTTTCAGGTTAAATAAATACTAAACCAGGATTATTAATCAGTTAAATATAGTTTAAGCCAGGTGTGTCTCTATATCCCCAAATCCCTAATAATTTTCAAAATAATTTGACCTTGAAGAAGTTTCCAGTATGTTGTGCTTTAATCAAAAACAATATTATTTTTAGAAACAAGTTTTTCTCTTAACCACTCAAGTTAGTAGTACCACCAGTTAAACTGCAGCTAGGAGGAAGGATTTTGTAACCCTGGATAGACTTTATTTGAAAAGATAATATATATTTCCATACAGATAGTGTGCTTCTAGAATTAAATCACAGTTAAATAAACAGTAAAAATTGTGCATCTTCTTTTGTTTCTTCATGCAAGTCATACTTAAAAACTAATTGGAATAACAATTATTTTTGGTTTAATTAGAAAATCTTAATTAACAACAAAGACTTAACCTTCATATTTTGGTTCCCAAAAATATTTTAAAAATTAACACCATGTGAATAAATAAGACAATCTTTTTAAACCTCAAGGCAGGATTACTGATGCAGGCAGACGGAGTTATTAAACACATTCTAAATTAAACGCCTCTATGAATTTCATACTGAAATACATTGTGATAGTTTTGCATGCCAAATGTGACATTTTGTGTTTTAGATTCATCTTCTGTAGTAATTTCAGAAATGTCATACAAACAAAGATTTTGTCATTTACCAGTGCAATCACTCTGCATGGCCGCCTGGCCGGCTCTTTGCTGGCTCTTGTGATGGTTTCAAGTCAGCAAGCCATAAAAAATCTTTATCTCTCTGAAACACAGCAATTTGGGAGATAATCGAATGGTGACTAGGGGCAGAAATGCCAGTCTGAGGAATTAGACCACAGTCTCTCTTGCATTTACAGCCTCCCTCAAAGCGAGTGTCAGACGAAAAGGAGCAGGAGACGGAAGCCTCATCACATCTCAAGCCCTGTCTCATTTGCTCAGTGGCAGGCCCGCCCAGCTGTTCAGCAGGGATGGAACCCGGTCCACTCTGCACCCTGCTTCCAGGAACTCCAAGGACTCTGCCCTTGAAGAGCGTTCAGCCATCCTGTCTTAGCACAGAGTTCTCATCAGAAAATATTTATTAGGCCTGCTCAAACTCTGCTCCTCCCCAGAGATCCACAGGCCACAAAGCACAACAGGCCCGCGGATCGATACTATTGATTTCATCATTTCCCATTTTGCATCTGGAAAAAAACTCCGTCCCAAGAGCCTCACCTTCCAGCGAGAGCCTGCCGCTCCCTGGCAACTGTGAGTTACTTCCGCGAGGGAACCAAGGTTGGCGACGCTGTGTTTTTCACAGACATGGAAGTCTGCTGCGAATGGCTGACTTGGAGTTCTGCTGTGATTACAAGACAGAAGGAGAAAGAAAACAAACTGGCAACAGAATACAGAGCAAAGCGCTGCCTTTGCAAGCACAATGCAATTTGATGTTTACCTTAAACACTTGATCACATTAACTAGGAATTAGATGAACACCACATTACAGGTGTCGCAGCTGATTAAAGTCAGAGAGGAAGTGGCCTTTGAAGTGTTGTCCCATAGAATAGAAGACTCACTGTACTGAACTGTATTACCTACTGATCTCCCAATAATTAAAATGTCACTTGTTGAGAAATTACCAGGGGATCAAATACAGTCATCCCTCTGTATCTGTGAGGGATCTGTTCCAGGACACCCGTGAATACTAAACTCCATAGGTATTCAAATCCCTTGTACAAGATGACACTATGTTTGTGTCTACACACCTGCTTCTGTGTACTCTGCTGTGTAGCCCTAGATTACTTAGAATGCATAATGCAATATAAATGTTACATAAACCATTATTATAGTACATTGTTTAAAAGATAATGGCAAGAAAAATGTCTGGACATGTTCAGGGCCGATGCACCCATCATAGGCCTGTGTTCTCAAGGGTCAGGTGAATCCATGGATGTGGAGTCTATAGACATGGTGGGCCAACTATCTTTCCTCAGACTTTTTGCCAGTTCTTATAAACTATTGGAGAAACTTTGAAAAGAACTTCATCTAAATTCATGAGTAGCTGATATGACATAAAGTTTTTTCTAATGCAATGGCCAGAGATCACGATCCACTTCTACCCTCCAAATGCTCCCCAGGCTCTTTGCTTCCCATTAACATTTACATACTTTATTCAAGATCCTTCTTTATTGTTGACTTTTTTCTTCTTGAATCTTGACAGCATTTGCCTGCTTCCCCAAATTAATTTGAATAAAGAAGGATCATGTATCTCACTTCTCCTGACTTAAGCATAATTCTGTCAGCAGGGCCATCTGTGACAATGACTAGCCCCCCACCAGAGGAATAGCCTTTTGGGGTCTCACTGCTGATTTAGTTTCCTGGGATACAAATGATTTCCCTTAATTTGGTTAGAGTTCCATTGACACAAGGGTTCATTAGGACACCCATTTGCCAGCAATTCAATTTCAAATTAAATACACTTTGTTGTAAATTTTATTACTTTTAAACTACTGTATCTATTGTCTTTAATGGCCCTATTATACAGTTATGAAGGTAAACAGATTTCATTAGTAAACATCTAACATTTTGTGTTTACCACAGTGACATGATTTCCTCAGTTTCTGTCTTTTGTTCCCTTGGCAAAAACTGCAAGGCATTCAGAAATATCCTAAAATTTTAATCTAGATAATTAGATACCACATCCACAATTATCATCTGAAAGGGAAAAAAAGGTAAAAGAGAGTGTGGTCCCTGCTTAGGATTCCACTACTTATAATGAAAGACTTTCTAAAAATAACTTCTTTAAGGTTAAAAAGGGATATAATGCACAAGAAAAGGTTAGACACAGCTTTAACATGATAACAAATACGTAGAGACCACGTCGAACTTCATTCCCTTGAAGCAATCCTATTCCAGGTCAGAAGCCACCAGCAGACAGCAGGTCACATGTGCATCAGGTCCAGATCTACATTATCATTTCTGTTTCCCCAGGTCTTGAATATGTATTAACCTTATGATTATGTAAGTTGGACCATCCCTCAGTGTCCACTGAAAACTGGTGGTTGGGATCCTACTTTGAATGCCAAAGTCCAGGGGCTGCTCAAGTTTCTTAAGTAAAATAGCATAGTATCTGTACATAACCATAACTTTAAATCATTTCCAGATGATTTGTAAGTAGTGATACAATTAAATTCCTTGTGGATAGTTAGATGGTAATTTTTAGAGAATAAAGACAAGAATAACTGATTGTACATGTATGGCACAAAACAAGGCTTTTAAGGCAGAAAGGGGCAATGTTTTCTAAGGTTCACTGAATCCATGAGTGTGGAAACTGGATACTGAGGTCTCAATATGTGTTTGTGCACTGCAAAGATTCTCTTTTTACCCACAGCGTGGGTAGAATCGCTGGTGAAATTCTGACTTCTAGTTTTCATAGCTAGCTAACCAGACCCTATTTTTTCAACACAAAATGATACTGGTGCTGTGCATGTTATTTTGTAACCTTTGTTTTCTGCTTAGTATTATATTATAGTCATGGTTTTCTTTTTCTTTTTTAGGTATTACCTAGTGTTTGATTCCAAGGGCCTATCATAATTTATGTAAATGATCCCTTACTTCTGGATATTTAGTTTAGTTCCTATTTTCATCATTGAAAGTTTATGTGTAACTAGCTCTCTCATAGAGAATGTCTTAGAAACTTCCCTGGCCACTTTCCTCTGTGGACATAGGAGGCGTGCTGTCCTACACCTCATGGGTCCCCACACTGAGCACTGAGGTGGCACTGTAGTGATATATGATCCCACAAGCATGACCCAGCCTCTGGGACACCAATGAGCCCTCACAAGGAGGAGGCAGTTCTCTCTCTCTAGGTCTCATCTTACTGCATTTGTAGTAGAATAAGAAGGTAATAAGGAAAACAGCAATGAGCAAGCAGTGTGGAGATTCTGCTGGGCTTCTGAACCTCAGCATTACTAACATTTCAAACCTGATGCTCCTTCACTGTGTGGGCTGCTCTGCACCCCAGCCCCAGTTGCTGATCAAAAATGTCTCTTCATACCACTAAACCTCCTCTGAGTGAGAAGCTGATCTCCAGCAAGGACCAGTGATGTACAGCATTAAGGAGTGCTTACTTAATGTTCAGCATATTTAGGGCACTGTCTCTAAACTACACTTATCTGCTCCAGTCATCCTTTAAAATAATCTCACAAGTTATTAATTATTATTATGATTTCTGCTTTTTAAAGGGAAACTGACACTGAGATGTGTTTGCCATCTAATTTGAGGTCACACGGTGCAATCAAGTGTCACCACCCAATCTGAAAACCATCTGTGAAGCTACACTTGCTCCTACTGTCTGAGGGAGGCAAGGCTGTCACATCCACAAGTTGGAGGTTATATACTGGCTCATGGATGTAGAAGTTTTTCAAGAGAAAAATAAAACATGGTTTCCAGATGTAGGGGTGCAGCTAGAAAGCCCCATCCCCACACATCATATAAATAAAGGGGCACAGATATAGCTCATGATTAAATGGGGTCAACCTTCCCCAAAATCTTAGGATGAATTAAGCCCCAGGGCATTTATCACCTGTAAATTTTAATCCATAGCAAAACAAATAGGAGTAAAACAGAATGCATCAAACCTAACATGAAGTTACGTACCTCTTGGGTGTTTTGTCCATCTTTAAGTATGACATAGGAATGTACTGGTTAAGTTTTTCTCTCTCAAAGTTCAAGTCCTACATAGAAAATGAGAAAAACAAAAATGAAAGTAAAATGGATTCTAAACACTCTTGAAAGGCCCCTGTAAAATTTGTTTTTGCTATGATCAGGATATGCTAATACTCCACGTTAAAGATCTCAGAGACAAGAACACCAGAGCTATTCCTTTTTCAGCTACTTTATTAGAGTACCTAACTTCTCTCTTAGTGACTTTCTGGCCAGGAAGGTAGAAGTAGTTTAAAAAAATCACAAAAAGGAGGGAAATGCTTAGCGGTTATCAACACAGCTTTCTTCATCTCTTCATCCACACACACACACACACAGAGTACAAAGGAATAGTTTTAGAATGTATGAGATGACATGACTGGAGGTATAGCAAGTGTGATGTATCAAGAGATCATAACACCCAGCAGAACTGAATCAATGGGTTCTGGGTATGGAAGGCCCACTGGAGTATTGGTGCCAACAACATGAAAGAACTGGAAGGAGAGCCAACCAAGTAGCTCAGCAGATTAAAGCATCTGCTTAGGCAGATTCAGGGGCCAGGGGTTCGATCCCTGGGCCTGCTGTGCCAGCTCTGCCCCCATAGTGACCTGAGATGGTGATTGAGATTCAGTGTGGTGGCGCTCCCCTGTAATCCCAGCACTTGGGAGGCTATAAACAGGAGGATCACTACGAGTCCAATCTACATAGTAAGACCTTGTAGCCCCTGTAGATCCTGTACTAAATACATTAAAAAAAAAAAGAGGGAGAGAACTGGAAGGGAAGACAGTGTGCTGTTGACTTCTGGAGAAGCTTGTATACTGGCTTTCCTGATATGAACTTGACCGTTCCCACCTCAGGTCTTCGCTGTGGCTGAGGATGGCTGTGGTTCTTTTTGGGTGAGCCCCGGTTTTTACTTCGAGCTCCACTTCCTGGCTCAGGTGCAGATCCCTCAGCCTGCTGGCACAGACTTTCTAGTTCCCACCACTGTCATCTGTTCCTTCCCAGTGTGGCTCTTTGGTACAGACTTCCATGAGACATTGTCTTGGGTGCTAGGCCTCCAGCTAGACTCATGGAGGACACTACCCTGAGCTCTAGGACTTCAGCTGGACTTGTGCAGGACATCATTATGAGGCCTAGGCCCTCAGCCAGATTCTTTGGGTCTTTGATAGATGGGCGGACCTCCTGCACTCTTCTTCACTTGAGCGAGTATTACAAAATAACCATATAAATTGTGTGCTTCATATCAAATCTTTTCCCTTGTAAGCCCTAGCTGT